CACCCAGGCTGGTGATGCAGACCATGTCAGGGGGGCTCACTTGGTGAAAAGAGACAATTTAATTCAGTGCAAAGTGAATAATCCAAAATCCCATAAATGATTCATCACTGGATTAAAAGCTATAGATTTCTCCATAAAATTCTCTGCCCTGCATTAAATATGCAGATGATTGTGTGATGTTTATTAACTACTGGATGGCTTAGTTAAGAATGACACCAGCTCTGGTGCTTGAGAGCACCTTTGAAGTCATGAATCTTCATTAGATGTATGTTAAGCAGGAAAAGGAGTTAACTTCAAGGATTCAAGGTTCACTAACATCAGTAGAACTACAGAACATACACTAGAACATGAGAGAGGAGAGCCAGGCCTTAGTATATTTTGGTTTAGAAAACATAACTACACACAGGGTTTATTCCCTGGTTTGGATTACCAACCATATGCCTCTTTTCCTAGGTGTTAAAAAAAACCAAACCAAAACACACCTCCACAAAACTTCCCTTTTTTTTCTAGATATTTAAAAAAATAGCTGCATTTTGAAGCAGCAGGAAAACATACAGCTTCTTTCCTTCTTCAAGAGAAAGCTATTTTGGGAAGTAGTGGGTTTCCCTTCCCCTCAGAGAAGGTTCATGCTTGAAAGACTAGGGAAAGTCAATGACCTTATACCAAAGATCATTTCCCAACATCTTCCTCCCCAACCCTTCCATTGGTTTTTCTACACAGTAGTTTACATCTCTCTCCCCTGTGTCCTTGTGGCATTTCTTGTCTCAGCTTCAAACCACTGGGAGCTCTTAAGCTGATGTTAGAATGTAAGTCATATGAGGAGCAGTTGAGGGAGCTGTGGGGGCTCAGCCTGGAGAAAAGAAGGCTCTTTACGACTATGTGAAAGGAGGTTGTAGTCAGGTGGGAGCCAACCTCTTTTCCCAGACAACTAAAGATGGGACAAGAGAAAATGGCCTCAAGCTGCACCAAGGGAAGTTCAGGTTGGACATGTGGAAGAATTTCTTCACTGAAAGGGTTGTTAAACATTAGAAAAGACTATCCAGGGAAGTGGTGGAGTCACCAGCCCAGGAGGTGTTCAAGAAGTGACTGGACATGGCACTTTGTGCTATGGTTTAGTTGCCAAGGTGGTGATTGGTCAAAGGTTGGACTTGATCTTAGTGGTCTTTTCCAACCTAAATTATTCTATTCTATACTACAGGATGAGGAGATGAGGGTTCTCTGTGGGAAGCCCCACTCTAATCTCAGTGTCTCTCTTTCTAAGCACTCCCCGAAGTGTTCTTTTGGAGAGCTCCTTGGCAAGATCACTGCCCTTCCTCATGAACTTGATCATGGGGGGGAGTGGATGCTGAGATAGGCTGTGGGATAGTTATAGATTGACATTTCATTTTCCACATCACTGCTGCAACAGGAGCTGCTGAGTCTTGGGGTTTCTGTTTTAAATTAGCTAGACAAGCCAAAGCCACACTGCTCTGGGTTGAGATTGGACTCAATGGCAAGAGGAAACCAAGAAGTGCATGGTCACCATAGCCTCAGGAGCACAAAAAACCCAGTGTATTACTGAGAGCTGCAGGAAATGGTGCTACTAGAGGACACGTAAACTGGAGCCGAGGCCAAGTGTCCCCTGGAGCCAGCCATGAGCTGATCTCCCAGCCAGGACCTCCATCGCTCCTGGGGTAGGATGCATTTATTCTGCTTGGTGTCAGCAAATCTGCATCACCTTTACATCCTCCCCAATCTCTCCAGATGTTTCTCTGCTCTGTCTCTGCAGCTCAATTTTGCCATCTGCTGTCATGTCTGCGGCAACACGTCCCATTTCCTCTTTCTACCAGGCTGAAATTTTCCACTTTTTCATGCATTCATCTCACACTGTGTGGTTATCTCTGTTCTTTCCCCAAGTCCCATGATGCTATTTATTCTTATTTCTAATTTCCTATGTACTCAGCCACATTCTTCCCTTCTGCTTGCTCTTTCCTAAGCTCCAATTAGATTCCACCTTTGGAACCCAGAGATTTATTTATATTAACCTTAAAAAATGCCTAGAAAAGCACATTAAGGCTAAGAAACAAACCTAGAAACATAATGAAGTGTGCTGCTGAGACGGAAAGGGACTATCAGAGCAGTCAGCTCCAATAAAGTCTATTAAGAGAGGTCTCTTATTAATCTCAAAATGATATTTAATTCATTCCTCTGGTTTCTCTTTAAAGGATTTGTATTCCTAACTTGCTACTTGCCTTTTCTTTTTTTTTTCTTCAGTATTTCCTCCTGTTTTCTCATTAGCCAATCCCATCTCCCAAAACATTCAGATCACCCTTTTTAATTGCTTTTCTGTACCTCCTTCAAACTAATCGGGTAGTTCAGTCATTATCTCTTCACGTCAGACCTCCTTTACCCTATTTAATCAGTCATTTTGATACAGACAACTGTCTATAAAGTACTAGGGGCCAGTAAAAATTATTACTTGGACCAAAAGCTAAATCCTTCATTAATTAACCACCTTTCTCCATGGAGCCAAGCCAGACTCCCCAGATATAAGACCATTTAGGCTTGACATGGACTCTGAACAAATTAAAACCTGCTTTGTTCTGCTACAGGCTCCTGGTGCAAATCCATAAACACTGAGATAACTCCAGCAGCTCAGAGCACTGGGGAGACACCTCAGACTACAGTGATTTCAGGTCTTGGTGATTGGCAGGGTGAGAGGTGGTGGGAAGCAGGGATGGGGGGACTGGAGTTTTGGGGACTCTCATACCAAAAGTCTTCATTTGTTTGCCCTGTGTATTGTTTCAATCTGTTACCAGAGGCTTTTCTTGCCTACAGTGCTTTATCTTTGCTCAACTGTACTGCTTTGCCTTCCAAGGTGAAAGTCTTAAAAATAAAGGCCAGTGTTTCCAGATGCCAATGACATCCTCTCTGACAGCCTTTTCTTTCTAAAAACTTGCTGCTTTCATCCATTTTTTCTTCACAAGACCCAGAAACTACATTCTGGGGCTTCAGTTGCTTTTGGAAAACAGCATTTCTGTCTCCTCCAGCTACATTTTAAAAGGCTCTCTTTAACCTTTCCCTGAACATGCTGACAGGCAGGGTCAGTTCCTCACAAATAACTTCGATGTGTTCTCATTTAAACATAACCCTCCCAGATTCCTTGCTTCCAATTGCCACTTTAAACCCAAACCTCTGCCTCAGTAATTGGGATGGATAAAAAGATAAATAAAACCTCTCTGCAAAAAAAGTTACACTTAAAGCTTTCATACCCCATCCCTGGGCTGCATTTCCACATGGCTGATCAGATGAAACTCACTTTGTTGGCTCTCACCTCTTCCCCCCTTGTGCAGTGCCCCAAAAACAGAACCTTCAAGTCCAGCCAACACCAGAGCAAACATGCTAGAACCTTCCCAGTAAGAGCCAGCTCTGCTGTAAATAAGTCATTAGTGAAGAGCTAATTAATAAGAGCAAAAGGCTGGCCCAGCTCTGCCAATTGGAAGCTGCAATGGAGATATTGCTGCTTTAATTAGCAGGTTTAATTGGGTAGGGGAAAAGCAGGCAAAAAGAAAAGTTTGGGTTTTTCAAAGGAGTGTATCAAAACTGTTTGGGATTTTTTTTCCTCTTATTCCTTACAAATTTGTGTGGGATTCATGCCTAGAAGTGAGAGGTGCCAGGCCCTGGGCTCAGCATGTGCTGTGTGTTGGGGGGTAAAGACACCCACAGTAACCAGTGTGGAACAGACACAGGTCTCAGCTGAGCACACCCAGCCTGGGAAACTGCAACCCACGTCCTCTGTCTGGGGATTCCTCTACCTCCCACAGTGCCACTAGACAGGGTGCAGGGCAGGGTGCTGAACCTGGGTGAGACTGAGAGAGACCCCAAAGAGGAACCTCCTCTGCCTCCCCCCAACTTATGGCCTGTGAGAGGATGCTTAGAGAGGCCAAAAGTCTCACCACAGCCCTGAGCACGACTAGCAGGAAAGTCCAGAGCTGCCACACAATGTTTCCTCCTGATCAAATGCCCTTTCCACAATGTGTTTTAAGTTGCTGTTGCCCAGAGGTGCCATAGCTGGCTCTGGAGCAGTCCAAGCAATGGTTTGAACCTTCTCCCATGCCATTCCTATATTCACTGCAGCTGAGCTGCTGAGGAACCCAATGAGATACACAAAATCTCTGCAGCATATCCCATAGATGATCCCCAAGCCTCCATGGCCAGTCCCTCTTCACTAATAGATTTTCAAATGGGTAGTATGGGGGATTGTGGAGGCAGTATAGAAAATTTCCCTTCAGGTTGGTCTTCTGGGCATTTTCCCACCTGGGCACATTCCCCATCTGGGAATGCTGCAGTACTTCTATGGAGAATTGAGACAGTACACCAGTCATTTCAACACCTGGAGAATAAGTAACTCCTGTTCAAATCCTTAGGATGTGGCAAAAAAAATACAATTGCCAGCAGTAAATTACAAAGTTTATTGACATAATCTCTAAGGGTCATTCAAACATGCTGAATCACAGGCAGTATTGGTAGCCCTTAAGTAATCTGCATTTTTGATTTAAACTCACAGCATTCTTGTAGCTTAATTTTTCCACTTGATTGTATAAAAGCAATTAGAACTACATTTTCTGATTTTTTTTTCTTTTGGTAATTTGAAGATAGGCAGCATTCCATGTGATTTCTTCTCTCTTCTGTTCCTCACAGTAGAGGTTGTGTTCAAGGAAGAGCATTAGTTAAAACGGAGAAAAACAAATTCAATTGTGCACATAGTATTAGTAAGGAGGCAGATGCCAGAAGCATCCATGAATAATGCATAAAGCACCTTCTCAAATATTCTTATTTATGCAATGAGTTTTAAGGGTGATATGGCAAAATTTGCACAAAGATTTTAAATTTTCATAGTTGAAGCTTTGGCCTTTGGTTTATACCCATTGATATTTTGAGGCCTCATAAGCATCTCTCAGTGTAGCATGAAACAAGCCCTTTGTATTTTCCGTGGCATCTAAGGATGATGTAGGAGTTCTTCACAGGGAAAAAATGTTGTTTTCTCCTTCAGCACCACTGAAAACCTTTTTAGGCTCTTCTGGTTGAGCAAGGCTGCAGTGAGAAGCATAAATCACTATGGGTAGAGCAAAAGGACATTGCTGCTTCAGAGCATCCTTTCTTATTTGTAATATCATCAAATTCCCATTGAAACAGAAACCTGAAGCTACTGAGTCCACTGACTGCAATGCAATAAGAGCAATGCCTACTTTTTACAGCAGAGGAGTGTTTACCTTGCTTGCATTTTTCTAATGGATAAGAAATGCCTATTCAGATCTTGTGATGACAGCTATAGGGTAACCACCATGGGATTCAGAAGAGTCTCTCCTTGCCCCTCAGTTCTTAACTCCTAGATGGAGTATGCAGAGAGGGACCATCTACCATGGAAAATTATTGGTCTTTGGAAAACGGATGGTATTTCACTGGGTTACCCTGTGGTTTGCCCACAGAAAATCCTTTTTGCAAGATAAGACAGAAGACATGAATTATCAGCTACACCTGCACAGGTACCACCCTTGGTATTCAATCAAAGAATAAAGCAGATGAGATACTTCCTTAAGCTGGAGTCACTACATAGCAGTAAGTACCAGTTGCTTAAGTTCTCCAGTGCTCTGGGTGCCTGTTCATTGCTACACAGAGCAGGAACCACTGTTTGATTTTCTGAAGTTACCTGAAGCTCCCTTGTAATACAACTTTGGCAGTCAGCACCACAAGCCAATGCTACACCCATCACAACCTGTGGCCAATACCTTCCTGCCTCTAAGAAAAATTACACTGGAGCGTTTAAGAGAAAATTACAAAAATGGATTACCTTTTAATTTTCAGCTTCTTTGTGTGTTTACCTAGAAGGAAAATAATATTAATGTCACAATGGCAAAACAAAATCTATAATTCTAATGTAGCCATCAAATGAGTTTAGAAGCAACTTGCAAAATTACTGTGGGCTAAGCAGGAAAGAAAGGATCTCATTCTGATTTCAGTTACACCAATGTTTTTCAGGAGCAATTCCAGGAAACTACTGGACTACTTAACTATAAAGAAAGATCCAGCAAGATGAGCCAGACCTGTAACAAGTCAGTGAGCAGGTTCTTTGCACAGCCTTCCTCATGCTGCATCCCCACCAGCTCCTGCTCCCTGGTCTCCTCATAGTGACACAGTGCTGGAGAAAGGACATTAACCCCCAAGAAATGTTCAGAGTGCTGTCACAGGGGCCATGACAGTGTTCCCAGAAGATTAACCAGAGACCCAGAAGGACACGTGCATCAGGCCAGCACCAGAAACATTCCCAGTGATCTGCTTGAGGATACTTACGTTTCCAAAACAATGACACCATCAGTATGACAAGAATGGACCCAGCGGTGAGACAGGCAATGAGGATGGCAGAGCTGAGAAACTGGAAGGGAGAAGAAAATAACTGAAAAGGCTTTAGGAACATGTTGACTTGAGAGCTGTTCCCACAGGAAGGGGTTGTACTAGTGGCTCAGAACACTGAACTATCTGCACTGGGCTGGAGTTTGCAGTGCTTTTCTGAGCTTACCTGTACAAAGTATGGAGAAGACACATCAGGTTGATCATGATAAACAACATGATCTGCACTGGGCTGGAGTTTGCAGTGCTTTTCTGAGCTTACCTGTACAAAGTATGGAGAAGACACATCAGGTTGATCATGATACTACCTGTTTTGTATCTAATAAATCTTCTGAAATATTGGGACCTAGATCATCCCACATAACATGCACTTCTAATAAGATGTCTAAAGTAGAAGTAGGAGCTTAGTCACCTCATCCTTCTCTTAATCAGAGACAGGAGAGTCTAACACTCTTAAAATGGCTTTTGCTTGGTCATATCCCAAGGATGTTGACTCTGCCTCTCTTACAGGTGTGTGAGGGGATTAGTTTTTTCTGGAGTGTCCAAGCTGGATGGGATGCTCACAGGCTTTGGGTCTATCTACTGGAAAGATGAACAGATGGTTCTTGAGCTTCTAAACAAAAGTTCAAACTACTGTTGCAAAAACTAAAGTTCCTTTAGTATGACTACATTGAAAATCACTAGCATGTCCTGCTGCCCTTCTGGCTTCTACTTAAATATTCTTGAAACTTACAGGAAGTTTTGCCTTCTCTCCAATATCACCAATTTTCTCAGTCTTGCCATCTGAACCCACAGAAATCACTGAAAATGAAAGAGATTGAAATTATTTCTGGCAGAGTTATCTGAAGGAGCAAGGGCCACTGTGGCTATCACTGCTTTAGTCAAGGAGTAGTGAACTGTCAGGGAACAAGGAGGACAAAATCCGGCCCTGAGTAGGAGAAATAAAGCACCTTGCAAACAAAAGAGAACAGTTTCCACCACAAATGCCATTTGAGGCTGTCACTGGGAAATGTCAGTCTTCATCATGACAGAGGAGGTTTCACAGGGCAACCCAAGAAGCAAGGTGGTAGAAATTTGTCTGCTGTGAAGGATTTCTCACTTCTGTATGCATGGCAAGAGGTCAAGGACAGCAGAGACAGTAAATGAGGCATTAGTCTAAGTGGAGGAACTGCCTCAGTTTATTTGTGGTCAGACTTAGGTGATTGCAGGATTCAAAAGCCACATTACCACAGGAAACATTTTTAATTTCAGGTAACTTACCACAGATATAAGAAAGCTCTATGAAGAAGATACTTTCTTTTTCTCTATCTGGGGATATTAAGAATAATTCACTTCTAGCTTTTTAAGCTTTGTGAAAAAAAGGAATGAACTAAAGGAATACTCAATAACTCTTGCAGTAAACTTCATCATCTAGCTTTTTAAGCTTTGTGAAAAAAAAGGAATGAACTAAAGGAATTCTCAATAACTCTTGCAGCAAACTTCGTCGTTACCCTATGATCCTACTCTGTTACTTTTGATAGTGAATTTAAAGTAAAAAAGTTAGTCTAGGCTTGAGCTTTGGCTCATCATAACCTCATGCTACAAGGTACTGAAGTATTTAAGTATTTGGAGAACTTGATCTGTCACAGAAAGAACCCAATGTTTAGCAGCATCCTAAAAACAGAGGAGTTGCTCAGCTTAGTGCAACAAAACCTCAGTTTACACCCCATGACAGGAAAACTCCTATGCTTTAGGTCATACCCTAATGTGTAGAAAGACTCTGATGAGTAGTGTTTTCAAAGGTTTGACAAGAGAACAACCATCTGAGCAAAAATGTACCAGGGACCAGATGAGTCATTGGCAAGGCATCTGTATGAACACTCTTGTGGTGACCAAGACCACATCCAAAGGAAACTGTGCAGGAGGAACCCAGAATGTCACACAGTGGACATAGGAGATGATCAGATAGACACAAATCATAGAATCATAGAATGGTTTGGGTTGGAAAGGACCTTAAAGATCATCTAGTTCCAACTCCTCTGCCATGGCCAGGGACACCTTTCACTAGACCAGGTTTCTCAAAGCCCCATCCAGCCTGGCCTTAAACACTTAAGCACTTATTGTAACTACAAGGGCAAATACAACATGTCACCCTTGAAGTTTAGGTTTCCTTTTTTAGGTCCTCATTTGAGGTCATCAGGGGAGCAGACTCAGATCTGAATAACTTAAGTCATTCTATTGGTATACCTGACTCAGAGACACAAAGTGCAAACTCCTTGTAAGTTTGTTAATTTCTCAGGTATGGTATGATGTTGTATACAGGTTCCTTCTCTCTTGAGGGAATGACTGATAGTTGTGGTAATTGCCTGCTGCTTTCCATCATGACCGTGGACATATGTAGAGCACTAGAGAGTTGAGCCTGCAGCCACATTTGGCTGAATATATTCAGTGAGGTTCAAAGCTCACAACACCCAGGAAGGATGTAAAATGTAAAGCTCAGTGAAGTCACAGTGATGACAAATCAGATATCTGAGAATACAACTTGGGTGGTGAAAATATCAGTTCTTAACTTCTCTCAGACCTGAGATACCCAACAGTAGTGAGTGACTCAAAATCTACTTCCTTTGTAGGTGTCAAAGTGTGGTTTTCTCAGCTGTCGTTACATCTTGATTTCAGACAATTTCTGTGTGAACCCACATGCTTCTTACTGCCAGATGCAACGAAAAACTATCAGTACATGTTTGGTACACTCTTAAGAATACTGAATCCTTCCTAATTTCTCGGAACAAGCAACTTCTGACTTTGCAATGTTATCCTACTCACCTGTGGTTGGCACATCTTCCACCATGACAGAGGTGTGAGCATTTTTAGTTCCCTCTGCAGTCATGAGTGTAGTTGGGAATTCAGTAGTCACTGAAACAAAGTAAAAAGTGATGCTTATAAAGATGACAGATTAGGAGGGTGTCCATATGGCATTTGAAATTGTGCACACATCAATCTGTGGAAAAGAAGGCACCAATGTGGCTAAAGTAGTGAACTATGAATGGTTAGGATGATAACAGGTCACTCTAATCCACTAAATATTAATCATAGCAGCAGCCTTCATATGAGATGAGAATGTAAATTCTCAATTTTAAATGCTTTGATTTCTCACTGACTTTATTGCTCAAGCAGAACATGCTCTAAACTAACCTTTTCACCAGACCATTTCGATTGTCTTTCCCAAATCAAGAGAAAAAATAGTGCATAGTTAAGTGAATCTCTCTTATCCTATCCCAAGTGCTGGACCTTGCATTTATTTCTGTTGTACTTCATGAGGGTTCTTTCACATTATTTCTTCAGACTGTTAGAACTCCTCTGAATGCAAGCCTGACCCTCTGCTATCTTGGCCATTCACACCAGTTTAGCATCATCTGCAACATTTGACCTGTCTCTACTTAAACCCACTGAGAACCACCTATAGGCATCTCAGAGAAAACTTCCAGATAAAAGTATCTGGAAGAGACTCTATGATGCCAGAGTCAGGCTAACACAAACATCTCTGCTACACAGACAAAGGAAAGGTTTGGTGCTGGTTACCCTCTGTACTTCCAAGAGAAGGGACAAACTCTGTGCAGCAGAACATATCATCTTCAGTTCTCACATCAACTGCTTGGGAACTAGTTGGAAAGTCTGGGGGAGCACTGCTTGTCACCACAGTAACAGGAAAAATATCATTTTCTGTCACAGCAAGTGTTGGGGGAGCAATGGTCTCCAATGTAGTTACTGCTGTAGACTCGGCAGCTGTGGTTGCTATTGCAGTGGTGGTTGTCAGGAGGACATCACTCTCTGTCGTTGGCTGAAGATCAGAGGTTGCTTGGGGAGCAAAAGTTGTTTTTCTGAAATGTTTGGGGGAAACAGGAACCTTTCTGGTGGTGGTTGTCATCACTGGAGGGGCTGTGTGGACAAAACAGAGCCAAGAGGAAAGCCAGATTAGAGCATTCACAACTGACCCTGTGGAAAACCAACCCAGAAATGAATGAAAATCATCTAGCTGCCAAAATACTGAGGATGAAGGTGGGAGAGTTACTATTTAAAAGATTTCTTGCTAATCTTTGCAATCAGACCTCTTTTTATGGAATTTGTTGCCCTCAAACTCAGGACAGACATGCAATTGCAGCACTTTTCCCCCACTCTCCTGTTGTATTGCTTACAACAGACAAACAAGAGTGCTGTGCACACCAACTGCACTGCTGAATACCCTGTAAAAATCAGGAAAAAATGCCTTTCTGCACTATGGAGAGTGGGTAGCATCTTGTTGGGTTTTTTTGTCTGTGTAAGACCTTGCTCTATCCTGCAGCTCAGCAAAATAATAGGAAGGGGAAGAAGTCCTTAAAAACTCTGACACAAAATTTCCAAACATGTGGGTCTCCTTATGACACGAATGAAACAAAAGCCTTTTCAGTGTTGGAGTGAACCCCAAATTAAAAACTGAATTTCATTCCAAGGTCTCTTCAAATTCTAAATCCCTTTTTAATTCCATCATCTTTTAAAAAGTCAAATATAACTACACAATGACAAAAGAAATATTTCATTTGAAAGGCAAAAAAAAAAGGGTAAAAGTTATTATTTTTCATCAAAAACGCACATTGAATGTGATTCCAACTGGTTGCAGAACTCCCTTGGAAATTATGTAATTTAAGAAAAACACTTCTAGCCAAAATAAACAAAGCACATAAAACTGCAATTTTTGCTGTCCAGGGAGTGGTTTCTCCCTGCTGGCTGTGTCACCAAGGTCCCCAGACTCACCTCTGGTCACCTCCAGTCGTATGTTCCGTTTGATGTCGTTGAACCAACCTGGGATCTCCACACGGCAGCAATATACACCTGCATCTTTCTCATCCACTGCCCGAATTGTGAGAGACACATCTCCATGGGAAATGTAGCCCTGGAGGTTGTATCTCCCAGATGTTCGGAATGCCACTCTCCTTCCACTGGTGTGCAAAATTTTTTTATCGCACTTTGAATTCGGGCAGGGACCTCTGCCCCAGCACATATCGGAGATGTCCTTAGCCTGTGTCACTTTGTAGTGGCAAGGCAAAGTCACAGATCGCCCTGTGACTCCTGTAACAACAGTTTGGGATGCGGCGTGGGCTGTCAAGGGAGAACAAGAAAAGATTCTATGAGTGTTGGCAGCCTCCAATCCATGACTCTACCTGCACAACACAATGAGGCAGGTGAAGAAACACTCCTGCCTGCAGGCAGGCCACAGATACTGATCCCCCAAGACTTTTCCTGAGCCTGTGGCAGCTCATAGCCTGGGGCACTACAGACAAGAGCCAGGAGCTCACAGGCATTGCTTGCTGGCCCCAGCCAGCTGCTGGAGGGAGGCTCAGGAAATACATCACTCACATCAGACGTGTGCTGAGTGAAGCTGGGATCTGTCGCTGGCAGCCTGAGCACAAATGGAATTTGAGAACTCTGCTCCCATCCCATCTCCTCTCCTATGAGGCTGTTTGAAAGTTGTTCAGAAACATGTTGTGAAAGACATCTGGTTTTCCTCAGTTCACCATCATCTCCTTCAAAAAGGAAATGCTGTCACAGTTGCCTTTCACTGACAGTCTCAAAAGCAGGGTCCAAAGTACCTATTCATGTGTGAAATTAGGGCCTAATTAAGCTGGCAAAGCAGTGGGATCTGTCTATGGGAACCTGTTCTCAGAAAGTGCAATGAGCAAGCCCTGCCAACTATCCCACTTACCTTGCAGACTTGTGTACAGAGAAGCTTTAGCTTCTAGAGTTATACTGATGTTAAAAAGAGCCTATGCATGCTTTCCTTGCCCTCTTAATGACCAGCTTTAGTTGATGTTTACAGGCAATACCCACCTTGGCATCTGGTTAGAATCTTTGCTACATACTGTTCCCTCTCAACTGTCTATGCAGTTCCCAGTTGTCCTAAAAGAGATTTCTTCTCACAAAAGACACTACACAAAAAAGGTTCCCAGACAGGAACAAATGTTTTCTGGTTTACATTCATCTATCCTCCATCAGTCCTCCTACCTCGCTGTCTTTTGTCCCCATGTTATCATTTAAATATGGTGGAGCAAGGACTGAGGGACCTGGGGAGCAACCAGACCTGTCCTCTGCTGCAGCAAGAGGATCATCCCACAGATCTGATGTTTCATGGCCAGCTTGCTTACTCCAGAGAGGACTTACAGTCGCTGTCACTGCTATTATCACCATCTTTGGCCCTGGTTTTCCAAACCATTCCATTTTGCCAGCTGTTTGAATGCCTTTGCTTTTTTGGCATGACTCCCAGATAGCAAACAGATGCTTCCAACTGTGTCCATGTCTCTTTTGTTTTGTCTTTAATGGACTATTCCCTAGGTGAGGTTTTAGCCTGTGGCAGGCTGCCTCACGACTTGTTATTGGGATGACATTTCAGATTCGTTATTGCTTATCCCATTGGCAAGATAAGCCAACTTGTTCAGGTTTCCACAGCTCCAAATGCTAAAAGAACAGAGGCAGACAAAACAATATGCAATATGGTGTGAAGGGCAGGAGCTTTTGCAGTGAAATGAAGGTAGGATATGCCAAAAACCAAATTCCTGAATACAGGATAAGGCTTTGCAAGATGGTGGTATGTTTTAGTCCTTGGAAAGGGTAGGTTCATTTGCCTTGTTACACCAAAACAGAGAAAACAGCCTCTTTCTGGGATGACAGAAGAAAACATCCAGTTGACCTTGAAAGTATTTCTGTGGGAGCAAGAGTTTAGTCACTGAGCAAGTTAAGACATAGTTCCAAGTCACCCCAACAAAGATGTGTGCAAAATCAGCTAAAACTGTCGTTAGAATTAAGGTCGCTGCTTCTTGAGGAGAACTGGGCTGATCTTCTGCCCTTAGTTCAAGCCAGTTCTGCACAGCACACAAGCAGCTTCATTAAGCAACCCTTCAACAAGTGAAAATTTGCCTGCTCATGTCTTTGAAAGAAGCAGAGCACTGAAATTATTAAGTAAATAAACAAGCAAATAAATCAAAATCAGAAGAGGGAAGACACAAGGCACCAGAGTGTTTCCAGTGCCCTTTCCCACTAGTATCCATTCTAGAAAGTTAGAGGTTTTGCAGTTTCAAATCCTCTTTTAATTTCTGTGAAGCTAATGTTGCTGACATCTGCCTGCACTGCAGGTTGGTATAGAAAGCTTCAATACTGCAGCAGCCAAGGCACTCTGAGCACCAGCTCTGCCTGGGTAGTGCCACTAAAGTCAGTGAGGTTTGCCACCCTAGGTCCTTCATCAGTGAGAGAGAAATGGGTTCCAGATGTTTAATATACTATCCAAAATAAAAAAGGCTATTCATTATTGTTCAGATCATACAGGTACATATATAGACTCTCTTGAACCCACCCTCACTTCCAGCTGGCATTGAGCAGTAACTCCAATTGCTGTTGTTGTAGTGGTCTTCTCTCCCACAGACTGGGCATTGCATGGACAAAAACTTACATCCTCCAGCCAAGACAGCTGGTTGAAAAAGATTTTTTTCCCCTTTGATCTATTTCTGGAATAATTTTCCTACTTTGCAGAAGGTATTTGGCATCTTTGCCCTATCAATCCTCTTTCTGTTGGTTGAAATTGCAGAGGATATGAGTGACAAACAGAAAAGAAGCATTTCACTGGCCACTCTGCTGGTTTTCTGGATTTTCAAGACAACCCATTCTCAACACTGAGTCGAGTTAAAGAGGAGGTAACAAAAAGCCATTCTCCTCCTTCAGGAGCTCTGCATATGAGAAAGCTTCTAAAAGTGAGACCAAATGGAGGAAGTAACTCCAAGTTATTTTAAGGCTGAAGATACAGCAAGAGAAGAGCCCTCCCTGTTTCTTCTGACAGAAAATGTTATGGAATACCCTGGCCTAAAGCAAAGTGCTAGTGAAGCTCCATTTGTGCAGCAGATCACAGGAGCATGGATCACCTCTAGCCCCTCAGTATATCCTGGTGCTGACCAAACTTTTCCACTGCTTTTCAGATTAATTTAAGAACATCAGATTTGCTGTAGATGTTATACGTAATATTTCATCCTGGCAGAGGTTAGACAATGAATACTTTGTCACCTGAGACAGAATTTCCTGATAGACCTAAATGATAACAAGAGCACAACACCCATTAGGAGCTCATGCCCCTTTGGAAGTGGGTGAACCCACATTCCTGAGCCCCCTGGGGCAATTTAGAGACTGCATTGCTGATGCCGAAACACATATGTAGAAACGTAGCTGATACCAGCCCTGCTTGCCAGACCCAGTCTCCCAAGTTACTCTTCTTGTATTTCTATCTCTTTTAGGATTCCAATTTTAGATGGGTGAACTGAACACTTGGGAGTAAAATGCGTGGACTCTCCAGCTGTACTTTCCCATACTCAGTTCATAACAGTAGAAAGGTCTTGGAGATTCAGAAAATCCTTTCTGTATCATGTACATTCATTCATTCTTCTGCCAATAATTCAATTCCCTGGCTTGGGCTGTGTCAGCACTGTAGCATCATTGGGAGACAGATGAAGAAGCAAAGGCAGCAGTAAACATTTAGCAGTAGTAAAGAAACCAGATGATTTGGGAGAACAAGGGAACTAACCAAGCCTATGCACAGAGGAAACTGCATACATTTTAAAAAAAGTGAAAGGAGAAGAAAACCTCAATCAGTACTAACTCAGTAAATTACGAAAACTTTTGAAGAGCTGTATACAATTCTTACCTTTCTCACCGTTTTGTTTTCACAAAACAAGTGTTGCTGGTTTTCATATTACAAAATTTTGCTTTCTGAGCAAGCACATAAAAAGCAGGTGAAGACTCACCTATAAAGATCTGCATCAAAATCCAGTGAAACAGCACAAAATGGGACATTTTAGGCGACTGAGACTCCAGAGCAGCAACTGAAAGAAGAGAAAACTAGATCTTATCCTTTCCAGAGATGCTGAGTGAGTCCCACTGAAGTCTCATTTCTCCATTTCCAGCTTTTACATAATGCAAGTGCTTCTTTCCTACGCTTCCGGATAGGAACTGGTCCAAAGAGGAGATCCTGCTGTATTCAGCATTGGTGCAGTCTCAGTTTGAGCACTGTGTGCAGTTCTGGGCCCCACAAATTAGGAAGGACATTCAGGTACCTGGATGCACCCAGAGGAAGCCAATGGAGCAGGTGCCAGGGCTGGAAGCACGTCCTGTGAGGAGAGGCTCAGCACTCTGGATTTGCCAGTTTGGAGAAAGGGAGGCTGAGGAGCAACCTCACAGCTCTGCAGCTTCCTGAGGAGGGGATATGGAGGGGAAGTGGTGATCTCTTCTGCCTAGATCCAGTGACAAGACACGTGGGAATGATCCCAAGCTCCCTAGGAGAGGTTTAGACTGGACATTGGGAAGCATTTCTTTAGCCAGAGAGTGGTCAAACACTGGGAAAGGGATATCCTATTCTCCTTTCCTCTTCCAAGGTACTCAGTATGGTCCTACCACCAGAAATTTCAATATTCTATTTGTTTTGCCTTCCCATGGAACTCTTAAGGCCCATTACTGTTCCATGGTGCTGAGTAGCAAGAACATGCTCTGTGCTTTTATGCTCCTAAACATGTGGCATAGTCTCTGCCTCTGACTTTGTCTTCACCTGCATTTGCTTAATCCCTCATTTCTCCAGGTTCTGCCTCCTGCTTGAAGACCCCTCTCTTTCCCCAGCTTCATATTTCCTATTTGGAAAGACAACCTTGGAGGAAGTCTCATAAATGTTTTCTTGCCAAAAACCACATCCTACCCAAAGATCTGCAATATCATTTTCAGGAAATACTTTTTAGTCTTTCTGACTCTTTTATAACTTTCAGACCAATTGATAAATAAGTTCTCTGGAAGTTCTTCTCTGAAAAATCTCAGTAATAAAGCAAAAGGAATTCAGGGGTTTACGGTCAGGAATGAAGAATTGCAGATAGACAAAATTCTGTGCAAATAAATGTAGCACAGTGCAAACGGGAGCACAATTCCCAGTTCAAATGAGAAAATGATGGACTTTAAACCAGGCATTACACCTTCAGTAATGAGATTTTGGGCTTATCATGACTAGGCAAGCCCATGAAAATGTCCCCCCTCTGCTTGGTAGCATTGAAAAAAAAGCAAATAAAATTTTAGTAGTTAAGGCAATCAGCAAAATATCTAATTTCTTACATTCTAATAGGTACAGTTCACACAACATCACATACACACAGGCCCAGCTGTTCTGTGAACAGAACTGATGAAACCTGATGCATCCAATATCCTGGAGACATTTTTCCTGCAATGATCCTTGTTTCTCCCATTACTCAGCACCAAGCAATGGCTGTGAGCTGATGCCCAACTGATGTCAGTGCAGACAGCAGCTGAATCCCACCTAAGGCACAAATTGGGGTCTTTATTCAGCTACAAATTTCCATGAAGCTTGTCCAAACAGAACTGGAGAGTATGTTGCAGGCAACTAGGGAAGGAATAGCATGAACTCAGCATCATATCAGCTTTGTTTCTATAGCAAGACTGGGCTAAAAGCAGGAGAGTGCAGTGAAAAAGGCCACCCAAAATCCAAGTGTGCAGGGAAGAACCAGAAAAACATAACTTGCTTTCTGATTCTGTACTGCTATCTAGTGGCTCTTCACAGGCAGAAAAGGAAAGGCAGAGGGTTGTCTCAAAAAAATCAGTTTGCAGCTCATCAGCTCCCTGTGCTGCCAGTTTGTGCAGCTGGACAATCTCCTAATGGGTGAACAGGATCCAAGTGCCACCTGCTCATCTCTGGGGCTCATTTTGAAATGGCTGTTCCAAGATCCACTGACACAAGTGGAAGTAATTAAAAAGCACAGGAAGCTTCTGCCTGCATGGATTTGTGTGTATTATACTACGTGTCCTAGGCAAAGTTCTTGCTCTGCACAACCTTGGCAAAGTCTGTTTGCCAAGTAACTGCACAGCAGATAGGAGACTTTACTCAAGATTTTGGTTATGAGCTATTCTAGAACTTTATTTTACATGGAAAACTTGTTGATATAAGAATTAGTCTGTAATATTCATATTAATGAGATCTTTATGGGCAAGTGGTAGAAAGTTTGTGGTACATCTGTGAATCTTGCCCGTGGTAGCAATGTGCTGCTTCAGGGCAAAATGTACTGAACAATATTTGGTTTTTCTCCTGCCTGTGCTACTTTTCTGTCCTTTAGGAACTTCTCAGCCTGTTTAAAATGTATGCTTAAAAACAGTTGGGCAAAATTATTCTTCCTCTTAAAGGTGACGTGGGTGTGTTGTGTCTGCTGCCCAACAATGCATCAAGGGTTGACTCATAGGGTTCCCTCCATGTATTTATTTAAAGTAAATCAAAGTTTCACTCTGCAGAGAATAAAACCCAAGAGACATGACTAACTGATGAGCAATGGAGGAAAGGCACTAGGCCACAGATACTCCCCATTTATGACCTGAAATCCATCAGACACATTCAGCATTCTTAGGAACTAGAGTTGTTTGGCATCTAGAAGGGTGTGAAGGCAGGGCCAACTTGTGCAACGTCCAGGACTTCTCCATAATCTAGGAAGATAATTTAATGAACTTTACAAAGTGTGTATGTTTTAGTTAAGCTGTTTTAGAGGTCTGGAAGTGAGACTTTCCACCCCAAGGGCTTCTCAGGGTATAGGTGGTCCCAAGGAGAAAGCCACAGAAAAAAAAAAAAAAGAGTGATGTCTTTGGCAGAGGAAAACACACTTAGCCATAGTTCACAAGTTGTGAATATCCTGTACTTTGAAGCAGTGATGCTGTAGGCTCTAAGGACATCCCACAAGGGGCTGAGCATCCATAGCTCCTCCAGATTTCACTGCAGGTGGACAGGAATTAGTATATTGCATTACTGAGCTGTTACCAGGACTGGATGTACCTGCCTTCAATGAGAATTAAACTGAGTGTGTATCAAATTACTAAATCTACCAAGTTTTCCCATCTTTGTCACAGCAGCTATGAGATTGCTTCAGCCCTCTGATGGCACAGACTCTGAGGTAGGTGGCACACAGAATCCAGAGCAAAGACAATTGTGCCCTTGTGGCACTTCCTCTTTTTTTCCAAAAAGGAAGTGAGAAGTTGAAGCAGATTATAAATATAATTGTAACTTTCTTTAGGAAATGGAAATTTCCATTCAAGCCAGTAGGGGTTTGGTTTCTGTTTCTGGAACAGGATGATAAAGATTTTAATTACAAGTGTAGCTTTTATTTGTTTTATTAGAATGAAGTGAATAATACTTTGGTAGTGCAGTCACGTTCAGCTGCTGAGCAGAGGGAGCAGCTAATGCTTTGCCAACTCTTTAATGTCCCAGCAGTGGCAAAGGCAAGCATGGACACAGTCCTTAGTGTATAATATAAACATTCTCCTCTGCATGGATCTCATCTTCCAGGGCACTATGGTTCCCCACACCTTGTGGCCTCCGAAAGACAACGAAGCTGCACAAAAGAGTAAAAACCATGGTGTCAAACAGACAACAGACAATAAAACCACAGAAGAGCAGATCAACCAGCTTCACTGGAAAATGTAAAATAGGCATAAACACTTATTTAATCATGACAGATAATGAATCATCTTTCCACTTATGAGACAACTCACACTTGAGGTTTGCAAGCTCCCTAATGCAATAAACTGACAGTTAGGCTCATTTTTGCTGGCTAAGTAATGAAAAGCAGCAGGATTTATTAATTTCCCTTTGTAATGTTTTCTATTAAGTGGAGATTAAACAAATAAAGACAAAGTATGTGGTGGAATGGTCAGCATACTGATATGTTCTTTCTGCAACCTCATTTGTCCTATTAGCAAAAGCAGGACCAGAATACTTACTTGGCAAAGTCACCCATCTTCTTTGTGTTGTAAAAATATTCTAAGGACCATCCAGAATGAAAAGAAAGAAAAAAAATTATTTTCATTAAAGCATTAGAAGCAAATAGTGGGTTGAAAAATAAAGCCAAGTGTAAGAAAGTAATTAAGGGAACTTTAAGCAGATGTTTTCAATATAGGAAAACCCCATTATTTCTGTGGGCTATAATTCACATAGCTTGGTTTGACCAAAAGCCTCTAAGTAGGAAGGCTGATGCACAGGAAAATATTGGATATAGTTATCTGAAACCAGTGTCCCTCCCATTAGCATTGGGAAGGAACTGGGACAGCAGGGAACTGAGGGAATGAGCAGGGCAGGAGAGGTGAACTTGTGTCATGCCTCTCCTCACCCGACCCTGGGATGATGCCTGCTAAAGAGTCCAAGACACAAAATGAGGAGACCACATTCACATCTTGCTGTTCTGGGCCCCAGAGGCTAAGGGGGAGAGCTGAGCAAGCAGCCACAGCACAGGGCACTGAGTGAGGCATCCAGAGGTCTCAGCTCACTGCCCCGAAGTGGAACATGTGGCATCTGTCACAGCTGTGATTTAACAAATGTGGCAATGCTTGAATAACTACCTATGAAAATTACTTACGTTTAGTGAGGTACAGAGCCAAGATCAGGATGACTAGAAGTACTGCACATGACCCAATCCCAATGTACAGTCCATTTTCTGAATACTGCTGACTGGGAAGCAATACAGACGTGTTCTGTCAAACACAAGACAGATGAGCTTTACTGGAACTGACAGCAAGGAGTCCATGCAGCACTCAAAGGCCATTTATGTGTTTTGCAACTCTGCAGGAAAAGTACACTTGAGAGCAAAATCCTAATCTGAGATACAGGACTAGTTTCAAGCAGAATCACTGCAACCGTTGGGGCAACCATGCCCTTAGACATGTTTTTTTGAGACTGTTAAAGCACCTGAAGTTATGACAAATCTCATTTGTTCAGGTTTAATATAATTTGGTGATTTTTTTCCCACCTTTTTGTCAGCTTATTCAGCAATTACTCAAGGCTTTATACCAGTAAGTAAATGCATCCTCTCCTTGCACTGTTTTATTTAGGCTAAACTTCTTCCTGAAGCCAGCTGTTAGTATCTAACTTGTCATTGGCATCTCAGGCCTGGAAAGGCACTGAAGCACAGGATGGTCTCTGACTTGCATCCTGCATGTGCAGCAGTATGAACTTCCACAGCACAGACTCTCTGGCAGTATATCACAGCAGGTCTTCCTAAATGTTTGCTTGACAGTCTTGTCTTCCTGATAAAATCTGGGTGCTGTCACTGCCTGTAACATGTGCTGGAAGACCCAGGAGGACAAATACAGAGCTGCCTGTTTGAAGCCCAGTGCAAGAGGAGTGCAGGGCATCCCTGTGCTCTCAGGTGCTCCAGTTTCCACTGCTCTCCATGTCCTGCCATACCTGCAGGTTTGCAGTCACATCCAAGCAGTCTGGGGAGTCTGGGCAGGGACCAGAAGCCTGAAAGGCAATACAGATGTTGCTAAATCTCTTCCTGCATTAATAGGAAGTACTTTATGCATGATAAGCAGGGGTTTTTCCCCCCCTCTCTGTAATAATGAGCACATAAGCATTCTTTCATAAGCACTAAACATGCAGACTACAAACCCATACTCTGTTGCAATCAAACAAAAGCAGTGCAAGTGCTCTGTAGGGATGACCCAATAACCTCTCATGTCTATCCACTTTGTCAACATATGCTCTAGCCCCAAGGAGATGCTTACAGTCTGAGGAGCTTCTGAAGGAGAAACCGATGGCCACGTTCCTGGGACAGTAAAGGAGGATTCACTGGTGCTCCCAGGAGCTGAGCAAAGGCAAGACAAACACATCACTAGTACAGAGGTTTTCTGCCTTGTCAGAGAGGAATTTGTACTGCTGACTTGGGACCACTGAACTTAAGTGTCTCTCAGTGGTCTCAGCTCTACGTATCATAAAGAGGTTGGTGCCTTCAGAGGGCAGTACAAAACTCTGAATGTTGAAGTTTCTGCTGCCCCTTTCAGAGCTTTGAATTCCTTCCAGGAAACAGCTCTTGCTGTTATCTCAGGACAGGGAAGGAGCTACCAAGGGAGACATTTGGTTTTGGAGCCAAGAGGCAGTAGATGATAGAGTCATAAAATGGTTTGGGTTGAAAGGCTTAAAAGCTCAGCTACTTCCAACCCCCTGCCATGGCAGGAACACCTTCCACTAGACCAGGTTGCTCAGTGCCCCATCCAACCTGACTTTAAGGCAAAAAATGATGCCTAAAGCAAACTTAGGTTATCTGGTGAAAACTAATAAAGATTAGCTCAGGGACTTGAAACAGCAAGTGATGAAGTCAGAGAAAGCAAGTGACATTTCACAGTCCCAGGCAGCTCTACAGTAAACAGACTGGTCAAAGTGTAGTATATTTGCATAAGGACCTGCAGCATGTTTTTGAGGTAATTTCCCAGAGCAAAGGGTTTGCAATATTTAAAATTAAAAGCTACAAACTTCTGCCTTCTCTATCATCAGTCTCAGTTTCTCCACGTGTTGTCAGATGATATAAAAACCTCCTGAAAACAAAATCTCCTGTTCACTCTATGACAACCCCAGGTGGTTGCTTTGATGCTTTAAATTGTTATCCTTATCCCAGAAGGTTTATTTTGAAGAGGACAGGATCACTGTTCTCTTCCACAGGAGATTCTGGGGTATTTCTACATCAGAGGGACATGGCCACCTGCCTTTTCCAGTCTCCCTCTGTAAGAATATGCACATACTAACTTGTATTCTGAAACCTTAAAACCTTGTTCCACCAGCAGCTAAGGAAGATGTCACAGGGTTAAGACAACCCGTGAGTTCTAAGATTGGAAGCCATGTTATTTGAAGGTGGAATAGAAACAGACTGAGAAAGTTTTCACTTCTTCTTCCAAAAAGGAAATGCAACTGTTGTAATACTAGTTTAGAGTTGCTTAGCTGGAAACATCCGAGATGGAGGGAGAAATACAATTGGCATCCCTGATTTTTCTTCCAGAATCCAGCCAATGTTACACCATGAGCTTCTTCTTGTGAACTTTGTGACTATATCAAAAAATTACTGCCCTGTTTCTACAATCCTCCTTAATCATCTGCTGTTGACTGCTGCTGGAGGCAGGATCTTGAATGAGATGCTCTTTTGAGATAGTCCAATAAAACAGTTCTATATTACAGAGCAACAAATAAACTGACTAAATAGTGGGTATGTCCAATTCCTAAAAAGTTGTGGTTTACTGTTCATGGGATGCATACCTAGAAGATTAAGTGAAATTTTAGACCATAGCAAAACCAACAAACCAAACCAAGAGCCACAATAAAAGCAAAGCTTTGCAGTACCACTGAAACATCTACTTAAGCATCACACCTGGAGTAAGATTTCTCCCACGTATACATGTTCATTTGGACTCTATATCAAAGATCAGGCAGAATTTAAATCCAAGTTCTAATCTCTGGTTCTATCTTAAGGTTTAGTAAATTTTAGCCAAGACATTTCTATCATCATTTTGTTGCCTTCCTAAGATTCCCATTTCCTGTATGACTTATATGTGCTATTGAGATTAATACTTGGATAAAAGTTACCTGGGGTCTGTTCAGTGGTGTAAGTGTGAGGACTTGCAGTAGTGATCCTAGCTGATATTAAAAGATAAAACAAAAATCAACATTACAATGTTATAATTAACTTCAGTGTGCATTTATGTAGTGAAATGGAGACATGTTAGCAGCATCTACCCAGGTACATCTGTCAGGCACTTGTTCCATGTATTATCCTGTTTTGAACCAACAAGAAAAAAACTGAAATTCAAAGGAATAGTTGATTAAATAAATTCTCTATACTAATTTTGTGTCCTTGGGCTTTACCCTAGAATCACAGCTTTCTATGAAAAGGGAACAGCAATAATGCTTTGGATGAATTAAGTACTCTATGCTGTCCTTTCTCTTAATTCTCCAGTGTTTCTAAGAAAGCTCATCAGTGCTGTGCACCACAAAACAAAGCACAATGTACTTTTTTAATGGCAGTGACTGCACCGGGATAACATTATCAACACCACCTTAATTTAGACAGCACTAACAGCAGATCTGCAAGGTCCTAAAGAGCAGGCTTAGGGATGGTTGTAGGAATCATTTCTACAAGCTTTGAAATCCAGACCCAAGAGCAGATTTACCATGATGGTGCCCACACAGAAGCATGACTCTGCACTCACCTTTCTTTATCACAACCCTGTGATTGGTTCTTTGATCGTTGAACAGCCCAGGCAACTCCACACGGCAGCAGTAGGTGCCACTGTCTGCTATCTGAGCATTCACAATCGTCAGGGACACGTCGCCCCTTTGCAGGTTCCCCTTCAACATGTACCTGCTGCCATACTGGTCTGTCACTTTATGTCCATCTGTCCAGATAATGGGTCGCTTACATTTTGAAGGAGGGCACTTTTCCTGCCCCCAGCACATGGATGTGATGTCGTGTTCCGCCTGGACCTTGTAGTAGCAGGGCACAGTGACATTCTGACCAACCTCTCCTGTCACAACTGAGTCTGACACTGTGGTGCCTGTGGACAAAAAGACAAACAACTGTTGAGCACAGAGCATGCAAGTGGAAGCTTCTTGTTTAGACAAACAACTGTTGAGCACAGAGCATACAAGTGGAAGCTTCTTGTGCATCTTGCATGTCCTGATGTCTCCCATTTCTCAAACACCACCAGGCATTGATGGATCAGATTTTCCACACACAGATGTGTCCTGGCAGGACTGGTGCAGTAAGGGATAATGATTGTCCAATTACAGTTTCAGAACGTGTCTCATTAGAGAAAGAAGAAATGCACTTTCTGCAGCCTCTGCAGGCAAGCAGAAGCAAAGAGAGAACAGTGTTTGGATCTGCTTGACCCTGTGGCTTCTCTTGAGCCATGTCCAGTCTGTTACCTCTTCGTTTTTTCCCTTTGTTTAGATTTAATCCAAGCCACGCAGGGGGGAACAGCAAGATATTAACTTTAGATATTAACCACTGTGGGAAACTCTTCCTCCCCTTCAATGCAAAGCCACTAAATGGCAGGTTTCATCAAAATGATCACTGCTGAATGAATTTCCTTTTCTCTTGCCTAGTGTCAGGGTTTGCCCATTCCAATCAGGACAGATTTTTCAGAGCTTTTCTGAGAAACCTTATACTCTCTTTTTTCCACTACCTAATTTTCTCCTCTCATTCTTATGCAGTTTCTAACTTGTGTGATTCCCCTTAAAGGTAATTTTTCACGTTTCCAGAAGGCTCAAATCAAAACAGTGAGCCCTAACACCCAATAGCCCATTCATCACAGTGAGATGAGGGTGTTTTGCTGTATTTAGACCACTCCAGTCAATATTTCCTCTAGGAAGGTTTTATTAAAAGCTGTGTTAAGTACCAGCCATAATAATTTGTGTCCTGGGGATCTATCTAGTCACATCCATCCTGTAACCACCTTCTTCTAGCAGGTTACACAATGAGGGTCTTGGAGTGCACAGTCTGTACTTCGAAGAAAACCATTTGCCATGTGCTGACTGCCACACATTCCTTATCAAATTCAGTAATGTGTAAATATTGTCATCTCTCCATATTAACATTTCAGGGATGGAATTCTGTGCAGCAAGGACAGGCCACAAATGATCTCTATTAAAAGTCCAACCTGGTTTATAATTCAGCAGGGACCTTCCCAGGGCACTGAATGGCTCAATTGCAACTGTCCTTTGTGAAAAAGCTCTTCTGCCACATTCAGCTCATTTTCCTGACCTAAGTTATTATAGCTAAAAATTAGTCTGCATGCAGAGACTTTGCCACAATAACATACTAGAAACTAATCCCTGAAACTAATGTCATTTATTTAATACAAAAGGAAGTTCAAAATTAAACTTGCCATAAAAGGCTTTATAAAGAACTACAGGAAATAATAGATGGAATGTCCCTTTTCTTTCTACTGAACTTATCTTACCACCACATTTTTAATCTGCCTTTATTAGTACTGCTTTGCAACCTGTTGTTTTCAGTGCTATTGCTTGCAACAGTCTGAGAGAACAACTTTCCCAGAACACAAAAAAGGAGAAATTATCAATTTGGCCCCATAAAATTTCATATTGGCTAAAAACCACCAGAAGCTACAGTTGACCTTTTCCCTGTCTTCCTAAGCATTCCTCTTCATAAAGCCTGTCAAAGTGAAATGTCCTTGTTTTACAACTCCTCTAAAACGATTTTGAGTTCTCTGCTCATCTCAGATCATTATCTAAAAGAAGTAATTAATAAGAGTAGCAGGCAGCCAAAGAAGGAACATCTTTAATACCATCATACCCTCAACATGATTGTGTTTTAAAGAGGCAATAAGGCCTTAAGAACACTATTGAGCCACTGTGATAAAGTTCTGTTCTAACACAAAGCTGCAGTTCCTGTGACTTGAGGCCACCCTTTCTGCTGCAAGATAAAACTTCTCTCTTTGCAACCCTCAAAATCACTGATGCATGTTACCTCCATCCACCTCCATCTAGTTGTTTAGGCCCACTCAGTTACCTGCAAACAGGAGCAGAAGAATCCAGTTCACACAGACGTAAGACAACATTGTGGCTGAAGACGAGGAACACTCGTGTTCACCTTTCTCATACAAGAAAACTTCTCCTCTCTGTAAACCTCAGGGTTCAGCTCTTAGCACGCCATCTTCAGACACAGCTGAGAGTGCCCTTCAGTCCAATCTGCCTGTTTTGCCCGTGGTTAGCTGTTGGTGTCTGCTGCACAGCCCAGTGCTGCTGCCGACGGGGCACGGCTGAGCTCCTGCTGACAGGGGTTTGACTACAAGGCGACAACACTCTGCGGTACCACAGAAATCTACTTCTTGTTTTTCTTTCAAATCTGCTTGACTACAGCAAATGAAGCTTGTCAGCACCTCTAAGCTAACACAACCATCAGTAATCCACTGCTTCCCACACCTGCTTTTGCCAGAGTAGACAGAATTTGGGTAGATTACACAGGATACATAGCAGTCTGTGGCAAGCGGAAAAGCTTTGGCAAAATAAGATTCTTAGGAAGAACTACTCAAGCATTTAAATCTAAATTTCTGGTTCTAATACTTAGAAGCATCTCAGAGCATCTTTAGGCAAATTTTCTTTTGTAGCAACAATTTGGTAGTATTGGAAAACTGTCCTACTGTTACACAGTTGAGCTTAATAGACTTGCAGAGGTTTTTCATCCATTAAAAATTTTGCAATATAAAGTAAAACATCTGGAATATAGAGGTGACTTTGAAAAGCAGTGTGGAAACTATTGTGTCAGGCTCAAGGCTCACTCTGACAAAATCTGGTTGAAATACAGCTTTAGAGAAATGGTGCTCCCTGGCCACTCTCCCTGTGTCTGGATCACCCAACTCTTCTTGAGGATATCTTGTCTTTTTATATTGGTTGGGCTAGAACTGCAGCTGGGATAGGGTATTTGACCTAGGGTCAAGAAATATTATTTGCTGAAGCAACTAATCTACCTCACATTGTTTTATACAGATGAAATGAAATACTCAGGAGTTATTAATCAGTAAATGGAAGAGGTTAAAACTGGAACCGGAGCTGCCTTGCACTGTCCACCTTACAGGGCAGCAGAGGCACCTAAGTGACAGCTGCTTTAAGTGAAAATAGGAAAACCAAGGGATTAGTGCAGCCAAGAGACAGATTAGCAACATATTTGTAGGAGAGAAGTGAGAGCAAGAGGAATGAACGGGGATTTTTGCATGCAGTGACTGGAAGGAGGACTCTTTAAGAAAATGCTTCTTCTTCACTCCTGCTACTGGGAAAACAGGAAACTACAGACAACTACTGGAGGAACAATTCTGCTCATTACCAGCAGGATCCTGAAACTGCTGTGCAGGAATGGGAAAGGCAGGGCAAGCTGGCTCTGGCAGAAGGTGGGCGACCATTCACCACAGCAGAGCCATGGCAGTGCCTGGCACAGGCTGGGGAACTGCTCTGGGTGGTTCAGAGTGTGCCAAACATCCACCCACAGACCAGGACATGTCCCTTCTGCCACTCACCTGCAGTGAGCATGCAGTGTGCATGGGTCAACAGGGATCCCTCCTTTGCATGGAGCATGTCTGAGCTCTGAAATAATAAACAGGATGAGAAAAATAAGGAAACTCACCCCATTCCTCTGCCTCAGCCTGTTCTACTCACTTCACCCAGACGGTTTCAGTCACACATTAGTCTACAGCTGTTGGGGTGCTGTCTGTATCCCAAGAAAGCCCTTCTGGTGACACCGTAAGACAATGTGAGAGCTACAGGATAACAATTAACCCACTTACTTTAGATTTCACCTCACAGACCATAAGACCTGGATGCAATCTGAGTTTCTCCATGCCTTCTTTCAAGCTCCTGTGTTTTGTTCGTGCAAGGAACAAGCACCACTTCCATATGAGTTTTCTCTTGACTCAAACCATACAGAATCATAGAACTGCATACGCAAAAATCACACATACCCAAAACAGCAGAAAGTGACAAATTAAAGGACAACAGAAAAAGACAACTTTAATCTGTGGCTATCACATTTACCAAAAAGCATACTTTTTTGTTTCTACCAATAAACACAGTTCACAAAACATCAAATATTTTCATCTGCCCAGTTGCTCACAACCTCCAACACGTGTACAACAAATGTTCTGGCTGCTTGCACCACAGCAAAATAAGATCCAAGGATCACATCCTGTGGTGCATTAACAAAACAAGGTGTTTTCTTCATGTCATTTCATCAATAATGCTGCACATAGCTGCATCTTTGTCCAAAACCTGATCTCTCTTGCCCCCAGAACGCTCTCTCTGCTTTTCCCCCTGCCCAACACAGTTGCCTCCATCATCAGTATCCATGGGCTCCACTTTGACTCTCAGTCCCCCCTCAGAATGAGGCAGATCATCAGGCAGGGAAGCCAAGCAGTTCTGAATCATC